GGTTGGATCACTTCCTCATTCAGTCGCAGTCCAACTGGCCTTGGTAAACTCTCATTAGATCTGTCCCCTTGTATCAGTGTAAACATTGTAATCTTGAACATTCATATGTATTGCTAAAGTATTCCTAATACCTAAGCCATAGATTCAGCCTAGCTGTCCATGAACAACTAAAAGGATGGTGTTCAATGACATTTCATGCAGTGATAAAGAAAAATAAGTAATAGCATCTAAAAGCAAATGGTTGTATTTTTAGTTTATTACCTTAATTAAATATAGACTCAGTAAGGCCCAAACTACATTTTCTATATCATATGCAATCTCTTTCCCTCTATGTCTCTTTGTGTCTCTGTTTTTCTACTTATCTATCTATCTATCTATCTATCTATATATATATATGTCTATCTATCTATCTATCTATCTATCTATCTATCTATTAGGTCTCAAGTAAAGAGACAATGAGAAGAGTGAGTATAAGAATAAACGTGACATAAAAATATATTGAGGGACTATTTTGGGGAAGGGAATTTTAGGAAGATGGTGACATTGGTGGCAATGGCAGTGAGTAAGGGAAATGAATAAGAAGATGTTAAAATCATGCATGTGCATAATATGTATAAATGAAAGCATTTTTATGGCTAATTAAAAAACAAGGTTAATGGCAAAATATATTCAATTATGGGGTTTAAGATACATATGATTTTTTTTTATTTATGGGAAGTTATGGCTCTTTGTGTAATTGAATTTCTTTCCCATAAGAACCTTTTGTCCTTCATCAACCACACATTTGAAAATGATTAGTGTCTAGAATATATATATATATATATATATATATCCTCAAAAGCCAAGAATCAAGGAAACGATCAAATTAAAAGATTAATACTTAACCAAAGAGAGATACCAATGGCTACAGAACAGTTTAAAAGGCACTAAATGTCCTTAGCTACATAATAGAATGGTTAAAGCCATGAAAGTAACTGAAATCAAATTTTGGAGAGGAAAAGGGAACTCTCATTCACACTGATATGACTGTACATGGGTGCAGCCACCCTGGGAATCAGTGTGGAGAATCCTCCAAAAGCCAAAAATAAACTGATCATATAACCTAATTATATCACTCTTTGATATATGCCTGAAGGATTTGATATTCTACTCTATAAATACTTGCTCAGTCATGTTCATTGATGCTCTAGCCTCAACATCTAGGGGATGGAAATAACCTAAATGTTCTTCATCTGAAAAATGGATAATGAAAATGTGGCACATAACCACAATACAATAGTATTCAGCTGTAAATAAAAATGAACTCATGAAATTTACTGGTAAATAAATGGAACTAGAAAAAAACATCTTGAGTGAGGTTAACTGTTGCCTCCGCACTTTTCTGTGAACACCTGAACCTCGAAACAGGCGCGCGCTTTCCTGACTCAAGCCCGTGAGAACGGATTAATATCCTAAAGGGTTAAAACAGACACACACACACACACACACACACACACACACACACACACACACACA